TATTATGAGCTGTTGTTAACCCTACAAATGTAACCTGTGTAATAGCTTCTCTGTATATTACAGCTGTAGGCTTTCCAGATAAAAGTGGATAATATTTATTTACTGAAGATATTGGATATTTTTTTGTTTGGGAATGGGGGTAGGGGGAGAAGAGGGACATAACTGTTTAAAGAGATTGACTATGTAAAGAGAAACAAAATACACAACAAGCAAAGAAACCCAACACTAAAATGTTGCTGTATTCACATAGAAAGTGTTTACGTTAAGGACGATACAACCTGTATTAATCTGCCATTGTTTAACTTGCTCCAGAAAATCATCTCTACTTTGGTTCCTGCATGTGAGATACTCCAATAAATACACTACTAGTGTGACCTGGAGGATGGCATCCGTCTGTCTCTGAGGTGGTGTCTCGCTGCGTCACCGAGGTCCAGGTATTCCCACTGGGAGGAGGGTTGTCCCCTGGGGAAGATGCTCTTTGTGTCTTTCCGTGGCTCGTGGCTGTGCACACTGATGTGCTGCCACTGCTGGGAAACTCATTTCCCGGGGAGTCTTTGGCACAGCTTTTGTGGGTGACATCAGACGGGCATGCAAGTGACAACTGTGGTGCTTGGTGGGACACCTGCCCGCCTTGCAGGGCTTGCCAGATGGTCCTCAGAGGGCAGCTTTGGATCACCTGCCTTGGTGACCTAGAAAGTGTTGGGTCAGGAGCTGCTGTGCACTGCAATGCAGGTGACAATCCCAGCCCGTGCAAGGGGTGACTTTTCCTGACTCATCGGCCAGGAATTTACTCCAACATCCTCGTTTATGACGGTGGTTGTGATGGGCAGAGGAAGAAGGAAGAGCAGCCATCTAGGAACCCTGGAGAAGTGACTTGGCATTTTTTCGGCCATTATTTTGTCAGAATGGTGCCCTTCGTCTTGCACGTGGAGATCAAAACGGATGGCCTGTGCTTGGAAAGCTGCTTTGGGGAAGGGGTGTGTGTGGAACAGCCTGAAAGATGGGTTTCCCCCCCTGGAGCTGCAGATCAGCATGAATTAAATCCAGCTCTGCCCCGGCTTGTTTACCATCTCGCTGCTCCTGTGCCTGGCTCTGCCTTGGCTGGATTCGGGTGGGTTCATGGCCTGGCTCTGCTGAGAAAGGTGTAGAGCTCCCGCTGCCCTCCCAGAGCAGGGATCCCACAAAAAACACTGGGTGGTAACTTCCCAGTGCCGTGCAGGAGGAAGGCTGCCAGAGCAGGGGCTGCCCCACTCCTGTCTTCTGCAGCCCCACAGTTAAACGCATGAGGCAAAGATCGCTCTAACCCCAAATTCTGTCTCCAACAGGGGCCTAAGGGGAGGGTGTAAGAGCAGGACAAGCATATGGGGTCATTTGGGGATGCTCCCCCAGCCTCCAGCTGCTGGTGACAGTTAAAGGGGGCTTACAGGAGAGCTGGGGAGGGAATCTATGAGGGAGTGGTGCAATAGGACAAGGGGGAACGGTTTTCAACTGAAAGAGGGAACATTCAGATTAGATATTAGGAATAAATTCTTTCCTGTGAGGGTGGTGAAGCACTGGAACAGGTTGCCCAGAGAAGCTGTGGATGCCCCATCCCTGGAGGGGTTCAAGGCCAGGTTGGTCAGGGGCTTTGAGCAACCTGGTCTGGTGGGAGGTGTCCCTGCCCAGGGCAGGGGGTTGGAACTGGATGATCTTTAAGGTCCCTTCCAACCCAAACCAGTCTATGATTCTATGATGTGACTCCCCAAACCCAGCATGGCTTCCCCGTGTTCCTGACTCCTGACGGGCTTCTCATCTCCAAACCTGCCTGGGCTCCTGCAGAGACCATGCACAGGACATTCTGCAGAGCCCAGCACAGGCTGTGTGTCCCTGCTTTTCAGAGCTGGACACCACGTTTGCATCCGGGTGCGAATGGGAAGTGACCACGGGTGCATTTGCCTTTCCCATTTCCCCTGGGGGTAAATAAACCCCGTGTGGGGGCTGTGTGGGACGCTGGAGCGACGCCGGGCCGGGCGGTGTGTTTACCCACGCTGTAGCTGAGGAAGGGACAGTTGACAAAGCGGAGTCACAGGTAGTGAAGGAGAGAAGAGGCTTTGAATCTGTTTGCGACACGAATTAATGATTAACGCCGCGCTCTGCCACGGCAAAACAAACGCCCGGAGCGCCAGGGATGCGGAGGGTGAAGGAGTGGGGCATGTCAGCAGAGCCCTGGGCTGCTTTCAGCACAGGGTTCAGGTGTCCTGGCAAGTAGTGAACATCCAGGGGCTAGCGTGTGGCTGGGCACGGCGTTTTGGGGGAGCCCACCCGGCTGCTGCAGAACAGGGGATGCTCCTTGCAGGCTGCCCGAGGCTCCCACATTTGGGCTCTGCAGTGAAACACGGAGCCTGTTGCTGCCTCCCCGATGCTCCACGCCGCCGGCAACCCCCCTGCAGCCACCCGAGCCCCCGCTGCAGCCCAGCGAGCCCGCCCGGCCAGCTCAGTAGCCAAATCCCAACCGTGTCGGGGGGCCGGTTTGTTTTGTGTCTCATCCCTGCGGTTTCCTCCCAGTCCCTGCGCTCAGGAAAAACGTCTCAGCGACTCCAGAGCAACCACGTGGCCCCGGCTGCTGCCATCCCCGCAGGACTGACATGATGTAATCGCGGGCCCTGAGCCGTGATGCAGAATCACTCCACTCCGGGCCGCCGCGCTTATTGGCTGCGTGGCCCTGGTCCTACAGGCGGGGTTTTTCCTTACCCCGCAACCCAGCTTACCCCCGGGAGCCCCACCCCGCGTGGCATCCATCGCCCTCCAAACCCACCTCCGTCCCACCGAGCTCCCGGGGTGCACCGTCCTTCCCCCCACTTTGCACGGAGGATGCTGCTCCTTTGCTTTCCGTCCCCCGGAGCAGGGGACCCTCTGCCTTGGGGGGGCACTTGGGGTCAGGGAAGGGGGGGGTCCTGCAAAATCTGGCTTTGCCTGCACCTCGTGTGAAAATAAAGCCGTGTTTATGCCTGGGATTTTTTCCCCCCTCTCTATGTCTGTGTCCCGGGTCTTGTGTGTGACCCTCCTGGTCGCTCAAGGCTGCCCAAAATCCTCATGGGGCCACAGCACATAGAATCACATGGGGTTGGAAGGGACCTCTGGAGATCATCTAGTCCAACCCCCCTGCCAAAGCGGGTCCACCCAGAGCAGGTCCCACAGGAACACATCCAGGTGGGGTTTGAATGTCTCCAGAGAAGGAGACTCCACCACCTCTCTGGGCAGCCTCTTCCAGGGCTCTGCCACCCTCAAAGTGAAGAAGTTCCTCCTCACGTTTAGGTGGAACTTCTTATACTCAGGTTTGTGCCCATTTCCTCTTGTTCCACATCCTTCTCCCCAGCCCTGGAACCCTGCCCTCTCCTCCTGCAGCACATGGGCTGCTGCAAGAGCTTTCCTGGAAGCGAAGGGAAACCTCCCACCCCCAAGGAGCCTGGCTTCTCCCCCGTGACCGGAATAAAAAAATGGGGGGCAATGCATGGCCCCCCCTGAGCCGCCCCATGGCAGGTTATGGATCTCTTGAGGGTTTTTCTTCAGTAGCACTTGCTGTGGGTGAGTGATGGCCGAGTGGCTGCCAGTGGCCTGCGTGTGGGTGACGCTGCCCTGGGCACGGAGCTGAGCCAAGACTCCCTGGGCTCGTCCCCAGCTCGGGCACAGGTTAATGTCCCCAGCTCGAGGAGGCTTGAGGGGGCGTGAGGCTGCAGAGGGACCCACAGGGCTGTGCACCCACAGCTCTGCCCCACCATCTGCACACACAGGGTGCCCTGCGTGGTCCCCGGCGAGTCCCGTGTCGCGGGGGGGTGCCCTGTGCCGTGCAGAGGATCCCCATATTGCCCAGGGGTGCCCACTGTGCCACCCACGTGGGAGCCAGTGAGTCTGGGGGAGGTTTTTATGGCACAGCCAGGTTTAATTAATTCACAGGTAGCCTCAGGTTGGGTGCAGAAGAGGGGAGGGTGAACTTTCAGAGGGCAGTTTTCTTCTGCTGGCGAGACAAACCACGCAGTGCCACAGGGCATGGGCTCACTCCGGCCTGAGCCCCCCCAGGCTGAGACCCACCACCCGTGGGCAGCCACGGGGCTGACCCCGATGGCACCAGCGATTTTCCTGCTTCCCACAGGAGGGTGCGTGGGCTCAGCTGGGGCTCACAGGGCACCACTGGCCCTTCAGCGTCCCCCAACTGGGGGCCATGGGAGCTTCTCCTGCCCTGGGCCATGCTGTGGTTGGGCAGCGGTTCCGGGATCGTGCTCCCAACCCTGGAGCTGGGAGGGGGGGAAGGCAGATATCCGCTGGCTGCCCCGGTGCCAGGAACTGCAGGAGCGTCCAGAGGTGACACGGTGGCCCAAGCTCACCCCAGCACGTGGCCTCCGTGAGGTGCTGGGGGCTTCTGCAGCCATGGCCACCACCTTCTCCCCACGCCAGCCCTCCTGCCCGCTCCCATGGGTGCCCATGGAGTTCAGTGGTGGTTAATGCCCAGCCCGGGTATTCAGAGCCCAACCCAGGGTTTTGGTGCCTGTCCCCGGGGCTCAGTGCCTGTCCCCAGGGGTCGGTGCCTGTCCCTGGGGCTCGGTGTCTGTCCCCGGGGCTCGGTGACTTCCCCCGGGGTCGATGACTTAGGGCTCGGTGACTCCCCCAGGGGGCTGGTGCCGGGCTCAGGGGCTGCAGCCCGCCTTGCTCCCTCCCTGTCCCGGTCCTGGTGCACCAGGTCGCTGCCCGGTGCAGCCGGGGGTCCCCCTCCCGGACCCTCCGGGGGTCCCGTGGCGGTGCAGCGGGTCGGCAGGTCCCGGCGGTGCGGGGCGGGGAGGCGGTGGCGGCGGGGCGGGACGCGGCGGCGGGTCCGCCTCCATCCCCTCCCTCCCTCCCCCTGCCCGGTAGCAGGTCTGGGCACGGTTCGCGGGAGCAACTTGGCGGCTCGTCCCCTTCCTCCACCTCTCCCCGGGCCAGCGCGGCCATGGCGGGGGGGGGGGGGGGGCC